GAGAAGATGAGGAGGAATGAGGAAGAAGATAATGATATTTTAGTAGTGAGAGAAAAATATGAGTTTACAAGGATTTTTCTCACATGAAAAATTGGGTCGAAGGGGGCTAAGCCTATGACCCAAAAGTTTCACACGGAAAATTGGGTTAGAGGGACCTAGGCACATGACCCAAAAGTCAGGGGCTAGGTCACATGAAGGTTCTAAACTTAATTTTGGGGTCTAGGCACAAATTTTCGTAATTATTAAATAGTAGTGTAATTATTAATTTAATTATTACTATTAAGATAATTATACTATTAATATCGTAATTATTAAATAGTAGTGTAATTATTAATTTAATTATTACTATTAAGATAATTATACTATTAATATTGTTATAATTATGATAAATACAAATTGTCTTTCATACTATTATAAGACTAATATTAGAGGCAAACTATTGAAGGCGGCATAGGCCCCGAGGCATGAGGTATAAGCATCATGAATTTTTATTATTCTTAATTTTTAGAATTATAAATATTATGAGAAGATAAATTATAGGTAGAATTATATTATTAAATAATAGTATAGTAGTGAATGACTAATGGTTTGGAAAAATGAGAAGTTGCGTAGTTAATTAATAAGAAGTTGTTTGTAATCAGTGAATGTTTAATTACAACTAATAGACATAATTAGGAATTGCTAAACTTGAGAGAGTAAACGAGGCAGTCAAAAGCTTTAATGTATCTATCCTCTTTTATAAGTAGTATAGATATTCTGTAACACTGTATGGTGAAATATTAACTACATAATGTACACATTGATACGAATTTTCCTAGTTTTTGACAAATAAAGTTGTTATAGTGTTTGTCTGTCATAGGGCTTGAAATGAACCGAATTGAATCATATACTAAGGTGTTCATATTTGTATTTGTTTAATTTGAATATCCATTTCTAGAGCTTCTCGAATTCAAAGTCGGATACTCTGTATTTGGTAAATATTCACGAATAGTTATCGAATGTTAAAGTATATTGATTTTGCTAAAGAATTTGATTTTCAAATATTATTTAAATTTATAATTAAAAAATATTCCTTTATAATTATGATGTATCTATATTTAATTCGGATATTTTGTTAGAAAGGTCATTAAAGAATCTTTAGGTCTCTCAGAATTAGTATATCGAACTTAAATAGAAAATGAAAGTTAGTTGAAAATATAATATTGTGTATTTAGTAGTACAAATTGTAAGCGATCAAATTCTAAACGAATATTTGATAAGCAAATGAATAGAATATACATGCAGTTAAATTCTATTCCTTTATGAACTTGAATACTAAAAATAATTTGTTTATTGCTAAATGAACTACTGAATGGGATATGACCGAATAGCTTCTCGAACAACTAACGAACTATTTGTTAATTATTTGGTTCCTAACCACCCTTAGTTGGTGAATGACTTGTCTTCCCTGCAGGGTCGGCTCCAAGACAGAATGGCCGGTGGAAAAGAAGAGTACAATGCCTTTTTCTATTCTCTAGTATCTACAGATACACAGGTTGGGTTACTTTTGAAGGCTTATTCCAATTTATGCTAGAATAAATAGTGTCCACTTCTTATTTCATTGTTATGATAGCTGTGTGCATAACTGTATTTTCATGCTTTATTTGAAATAGGAGATGTATTACTCTACCAAAAGGCAGCAATTTCTGATTGACCAAGGCTACAGCTTTAAGGTACAAAGTCTATTTACTCTATTAGCTTTACTTTTCTTAATGTTTACCTTTTCAGTGGGTCTAATAGAGGACAAACTTCTCTTTCTGTAATTTATGTAATTGTCTCCATTTTCTTGTTGTTAAAATTTGTTACCTTAATCTATTACTTGTCCTCTAGTGCACGCCATGCACAGTGTTGCTAAAGGCGCGTGCCTCATTGCGCCTTATCCTCCCTGCAATGCATGGTGATGGCAAAGCGCTCTACCTCTTGATTCGTCAGTGCTTTTTTGTGTCTCGCATGTGCCCTTCGTGAGGGCACTTCGCACAAGGCGCATGCAAGACATAGCATCGTATATTTTTGTTCTTTACCATTTTAGTCGAGCCTTTATACCGGATAATCCTTTTCCCTAAAAAAAAGTCATTAGGCCATTTTACTAGACCCATTGAGGACCCTAACTTATTCTCATTTAATATTTGATTTTTCTTCGATGTTAGTGTCGATTTGACTTTTGGTTTGGAAAATTATGAACTTTACCACTATGTTGGCTGTGTTAGCATTATGAATTAAGATCTTATTTTATTATTTAATAGTAGATATTATTTTCTTGTTATTTTTTTATGTGAAAATTCATAAACTTGTTCATTGATGCTTTTGATTGTCTATCTTGAAAAACTGTGGGTGATGTGCACCTCATTTCACTTGCGCATGCACATCGTCTTGCGCCTTGCGCCTTGTGCATGTGCATGCAAGGAGACTTTGCATCCTGCATTGCACATTGTGCATTGATAACGTTGCGTGATGTGCGCGTAACATAAAAGGGGAGATGCTGACGTGGTGAAACATGTGGAGGTGTTGAATGTGTACTTTCACGTTGTGATTTTTTTTGGGATATTTGGTTATGAGCGTATATTCTTGGATTTTGAACATACAAGGATAAATTTTGAATATTGGAGAGCATGAGGGCTATTTTTATTGTGAGAATAATTTTTGGTCGCGAGAGTATTCTTCTGATTTTGTAAAGCATGAGGGTACTTATAAAATTTTAAATTGTTAGGACATGGTCGAAAGTGTGACTCATATAGGTTAGAACACCTAAACATAGCTTTTCTTAAATAATAGTTGTAATATATTATGCGTACAGGTAAAACCGTAATTATTGAGTTGATTTAATATATGCTATATGTTAGTATATAACTGTATACTGCAACTGTCGCCTAACTGATGAGATTATGTAGCCTTTTTGATAGTTTTTAGAAATTACTCATTTCAATTTGTATATCCTGCATTGATACAAGGAGATTTTATTTTGATGACCTTGGTAATGTTTCATACCTTGCTTACGTTTTATCAGGAAAAAAGTTTTTCCCCCCTCCTACCATCTGACTATCAATCCAATCCATTGATTTTCCCTGGTCTGGCTCCACGGAACAGACTCCGCAGAGTGCTTTCTTTGTGTTTATTCTTGATCTCATATTGGAGCCATTCGATCCTGACATGTCTATAACTTCCTTCAAAGGGGTCATTTAAATGTTGTTTTCATTTTACCGTATCTTATTTGGTTTGAAGCCATTTTGATTCTGCCATGTCAAGTTCTCTACTTAAGGAGAATTTCTATTAACATCAGCATTTTAACAAGATTTCAATAGAATGCTAATGAAATGAAACCCAACAAGAAGAACTTGTTTCAATAGGGGCTGCATACTGTACATGTATGTATGGTGGGTGACATGTATCCAATGGTCTCAGTTTTAAGATATACTTTGTTACTTCAATCATGTAATTCTTTTGTCTTTTCGAACTATGCCTTTAAAACCACGTTGTCTTGCAGGTGATCACGAGCCTTCTGTAGGCATCGAAAATTGCCTATAGGTCCCTACGAATAGCTCAGTGTTAAGGAATGACGATGAACGTCACTATCCGGTTCACAGGAGTTCGATTGACGTCGGTGAACGCTTGAAGTGAATCGACGAACTACGTGAGCTGACAGAATTCCGGAATAACGAAGGTGCGGGCTAATCGGGAGCCCCGCAATGTTTACAAAGGGAACAATGCCCTTCGTGTCTCATTCATTCTACAGATAATCCAACCATTGGAGCTGATAGAACTCCTTGTCGGCTTTCCAACGTATTTGGAATCACTCAGATCCGGGTTCAGACAAAGAAGTTACAGTGAAAACAGTCAAACGGGCATTGAAAACGTCTCAAAGCTGAACTGAGGCACCTACGGTGTCTCGGCCAAGTCCCAAGGGTGTCTCGGCCAGGGTGTCTCGGCCAGGCCAAGACACCCCTAGGGTGTCTCAACGCGGATTTGGGCCCTTTAAGTGGTTTTAACCGCTCCGCAACCCCTCATACCTATAAATACAAGCCTTAGGCCTCATTTTTTCAGATCTGGAGTTTTGGAGAATTGGCGAAGCCCTGCCGGAGTGAAGAGTGATCAAGCACTTCAACGTAAGAGAGTTTCTTCGTCAGAGCTACATCACCTGTACCTGATCCTTAGTATTATCCCGTTGTGGTAATACTAAGAAGAGCAAATATCTCGCTTTTATCGAGATAGGCGCTTCAAGTTTCTAGATCTCCTCGCGGATCGACGAAGCTCTGGATCAGATCTGATTGCCAGGTAGTCCACGGATATCGACGTCCCCGTCACAGGCTAAAGACCCACGCAAGCAAGAGACGACGAACGGATCTTGTGTTTATTTTCAAGAAAGTTGTAATCTTTATTTCTTTGTTGTTTGAATTCATTTGTAACGTTTGAAGTTTTAATGAAATCAATGACGAAGGCAACTTTCGACGAAAACAAACTGGCGACCACAGTGGGAGCCAACGGCCTCGCTGCCGAGGCTGTCGTGACGCAACCGGCATTCAAGATCCGGGTGAATGAAGAGATCGAATATGAATTCGATCAACAGAAGTTCGAAGAGCACCTCTCTTCCTCCTCCTCCAGATCCGCCTCTCCAAACAGGCACAGGAAGATTTCATCTTCCAAGAGTGCTCGCGGGCCCTCAGGATCGAAGATCCAAGATCCCCTCGCCGCCGTTGCACTTACTCACCGCGACGCTCCAATGGCGTCTAACGTGCTCGAAGCTGCAGATCCAGATCTCCCTTCCGCCGCAAAGTCAACTGCTGAAGGTGTTCCAACCTTGTCGAAGAGGGCGCGCCAAAGACGGCGTCAACGCCTGGCATGACAGTTGGCCAAGGCCGTAGAATCGATGGACGGGATCCGCTACAATGAGGATCTAAAGTCCAGACAGCGCCAAGAGCAACAACGGCGCACAACCAACTCCTCCTCCAAGACGGAGACAAATGAATGGGTCCGCGTCAAGAGGACTCGCTCAACCCTCGAAGAGCGAATCAAGAAACGCCGCGCATTGCTTGCGCATGCCCGAGTCCTTCTGCAGAAAGCGGAAGAAATGCAGAAAGAAGAGACGGTCAAGAAGCCGTCAAAACACAAGCAGATGTGGGTGCCTAAGGCAAAACCGGCACCAAAGGCAAAAGTGGACGGAATTGCCGTCCAACCTTCATCAAATCCAGATCCCGTTTCCCTTGCCCCTCCGGCGGAGCCAGGTAAGAACGTGGGCATTGGATTGCGGGTCGAAGTTCAAGAGCCCGTTAAGTTTTCACGCTCGCAAAAGCGTAGACTTGAACGAGCGACTTTTGAAAACGCTAATAAAGCGTCATATCCCCAGAGGGAAACACATTCGTCTGATGATGATTGTGTTATACCTGGGAAGTCATGCCAACACTCTATGGGTTGCTCCAGTTATCAAACTGATGAGTTGTACTATAGAGCTGGGGGTGCGGGTAAGTCTCGAAAGAGAGATGCTCGAGACACGGAATCTCACTGTCCGTGTGCCAATATAATCAAGGCGGTGCTATCAGAATGCTGCTGCATTAAAGCCCCAAGGAGAGTTTCGGTGTTCGAGAGAATTTCCACCAGAACGTCCGAGACCAAGCCAAGGCGTTTTCGTAGGAAGAAGCCTGTCCGCCAAGAGGACGAATTCCTAGAAGTGTCTGCTAATATGACCGGCAGAGGCAAATCGACACGACGTTTTAGCCCAGATCAGTTTGCCGAAATGTCCCAGCGTATGACTCGATTGCGATCGGGGACCAATAGGCGAATGAATTACCAAAGGATGCAAAAGGGACTTCCTTTGGAAGAAGATGTGTCAGATGCTGGTTCAGATTCCTGCTCAGCTATAGCATCCGATGACACGGCATCTAGTGCGGGACAACCCTACGAGTCGCTTATGATCAGCGCCGAATAAGTAACCAAGATGCTTGAAGATGCCCTGACTAAGCAGAAGGAAAGTTTCAAGTTCGAGATGGAGATGGCCATGCAGCAGATGAGAGATGCATGACCAGCAAATAGCGGCACTGACAACTCACCAAGGAGAACCCAGTCGTCGCAATAATCCGAATCAAGAGGAGAATGAACGGGAAGAAGATAATGCCAACATGAATATCCTTCCCGTCAACAACAACAACGGAGGCGGTCCCCCGGATGATAATGCGAAGGAGGATCACGTTACTTCTCCCCGAAGCCACTCGAAGACAAATATGGGTGAAGACAGCGTCTAGTGCGGGACAGCCCTATGAGTCGCTTATGATTAGTGCCGAACAAGTAACCAAGATGCTTGAAGATGCCCTGACTAAGCAGAAGGAAGCATTCAAGTTCGAGATGGAGATGGCTATGCAGCAGATGAGAGAGATGCATGACCAGCAAATCGCGGCACTGACAACTCACCAAGGAGAACCCAGTCGTCGCAATAATCCGAATCAAGAGGAGAATGAACGGGAAGAGGATAATGTCAACATAAGTATCCCTCCTGTCAACAACAATAACGGAGGCGGTCCCTCGGATGATAATGCGAAGGAGGACCACGTTACCTCTCCCAGAAGCCACTCGAAGACAGATGCGAGTGAAGACAAGAAAATGAAGGATTTGGAGAGCAAAATCAACGCGTTGATGAATGCTCAAGAAGTGAAGAGGTCCGGCATACCATGTCCATACCCAAGGGAGTGGGAATCAATTCCGTATCCGGCAAAGTTTAATTTAATCAACTTTACGCCGTTTGATGGAAAGGGTTCCCCTACCCAACACTTAATATATTTTAAGTCTCACTTAGGAATAATCTCCGGGAATGAACCCTTAATGGTGCGGTCATTCGTTGGCACTCTTCGCGGAGCGGCCTTCGATTGGTATCGTCGCCTCAAGCCGGGGAGTATCAGCAGTTGGGACGACATGGAAGATATGTTTCTAACAAACTTCTTCGACGACGACACCGAGATTTCAATCGGCACTCTATTTGACGAGAAGCAGAAGAATGGTGAGACAGTCGAAAACTTCGTGAAGAGATTCCGAAATAAAGCAATGAACTGCAGGGATCCGGTCAGCGAAGACTTTATCCTCGAGACCTGTCATAATAACATTTCATTGGACATCCTCGAGACTATGGGAATGGCACCGCCAAAGACCTGGAAGGACTTAAAGGTGCGAGGAGAACGAGCCGAGCGATTCCTTAAAAGGAAGAAGGCGGAAAGGGGCCAAATAGCAAATATCACTCCGCAACAGAACTTTGCCTCTCGTGGTAAAGGCAAATCACCTGCAACAGCTGTTGACGCTAACCAGACGTCGCAAAAGCAACTCCGAAAACAGCAAAAGACTTCGGGTCCGAGACTCCAAAAAGAGTACTCTTTCAAGGACGAAGACGTTCCAGCCATTTTCGAATCCCTCCTTGAAAGTAACAAGATCAAGCTATCACCTATCACAAATCAGGGGACGTCGATATCCGTGGACTACCTGGCAATCAGATCTGATCCAGAGCTTCGTCGATCCGCCTCTCGTGCCTGTGTTCCTCCTGATTTGTGATAAGTGGTAGCTTGATCTTGTTACTTTCAAGGAGGGATTCGAAGATGGCTGGAACGTCTTCGTCCTTGAAAGAGTACTCTTTTTGGAGTCTCGGACCCGAAGTCTTTTGCTGTTTTCGGAGTTGCTTTTGCGACGTCTGGTTAGCGTCAACAGCTGTTGCAGGTGATTTGCCTTTACCACGAGAGGCAAAGTTCTGTTGCGGAGTGATATTTGCTATTTGGCCCCTTTCCGCCTTCTTCCTTTTAAGGAATCGCTCGGCTCGTTCTCCTCGCACCTTTAAGTCCTTCCAGGTCTTTGGCGGTGCTATTCCCATAGTCTCGAGGATGTCCAATGAAATGTTATTATGACAGGTCTCGAGGATAAAGTCTTCGCTGATCGGATCCCTGCAGTTCATTGCTTTATTTCGGAATCTCTTCACGAAGTTTTCGACTGTCTCACCATTCTTCTGCTTCTCGTCAAATAGAGTGCCGATTGAAATCTCGGTGTCGTCGTCGAAGAAGTTTGTTAGAAACATATCTTCCATGTCGTCCCAACTGCTGATACTCCCCGGCTTGAGGCGACGATACCAATCGAAGGCCGCTCCGCGAAGAGTGCCAACGAATGACCGCACCATTAAGGGTTCATTCCCGGAGATTATTCCTAAGTGAGACTTAAAATATATTAAGTGTTGGGTAGGGGAACCCTTTCCATCAAACGGCGTAAAGTTAATGAGATTGAACTTTGCCGGATATGGAATTGATTCCCACTCCCTTGGATATGGACACGGTATGCCTGA